CAGAATCGATTTCAGAGCATAAAGATCCAGAATCCGAAGTATCGATATTTCAGGATCGATCCGCACATCACTAGTAAAAAGCCTAGGTCAGGTGCTTTGCTGAATATCTATTTAACGACTTATTTAGATTGAATTTCTTCTACCGTGTCAAAGACACTGACGGTGTGGCAGCATGTAGCTAAAACAGATAAAACCGACAAAAACTTGAAATACTTTTTCTGCGTTTCTTTACCATTCACTGGGTTGTCTTAATACAGATAATCTTATCTTTTTTTTTGCTTGTGACATGTTTACATGGTGAGCTCCTGTCTTCCTCAGTGGTGTCACTTAATGTCAATGTGACGTGACCTCATAAGCTGTTTTTTTACAAGGGAGTGATTGTCCTGCCAATATTGACATGGTTAACCATGTCCCTCCAGGATGCAGTCTGAGTGTGGAACAGTTAAAATGCGACCTCATTTTGACACGGGGAAACATATACACAAAGATCAGACTCTTGCACATAATCTATTATTAGTATTAAAAGCAGTCTTTGTAACAGAGAACCAATTCAATGCAAGCTGTCAATAGGCTTGGTGCACCAAGTCCACCATTCACACTCACATTGATCAATTCTGAATTTCCAATCCAACCTATTCCCGTCACGAGCATGTTGTTCTGCTGCTGGAGGCGGTGGGAGAAAACCTAAAATGGCACACACAGGGAGAACATGCAACATCTATACAGAATACAGAAAGATTAAAAGAGCCTGGGGATTGAATATTGTGTGGCCCCTTTTGAGCAGAACAACCCATGAAAAAAAGGCAATGCCCAAAATGGGTGACAGAGGCAAACAGCAGGTTAAAACTAAAGATATCCATACCACAAAGAAAAGACTAAAGACAAGTAGCAAAAAAAAAAAAAAGAATGACACTGGATCACAAAGATCAATGAGAAAATATGAGATCAACTCACAAAGGAAACCATTGGAGAAAAAAAAAAACTTAATTAAAATGGGATTGTTTTAAAACAGACCTTTATAAACCTTAAAACCTTAAAATAAACCTTTATAAAAACAGCTGATAATGACACGTCACCGTGAGACGAGGGACAATTCTGAGGAAGACCTAGTTCACCGTTGAAACGGATCGGTAGTAAAACTACACCTGGATTGTCTGATCTTAAGAAAAGTTAAGTAAAGTATATATAAGTTTAGTTTGTTTTCAGAGGAATGAGTCCAGCTGAAGCGGAGATGAATTTTCTGGAAAATGTCAAGAAGTTGTCAATGTATGGCGTCGACCTTCATCATGCCAGGGTAAAACTTGCATGCATGCACACAAACACACACATGCATAATGTTTTTTCTGGGCTAGGGAAGTGCAAAATTATGCATTCCTAGCTCTGTACCTTAACCCTAACCTAAATATTCCTACTTCTTACCCTAATTACCCTAACTACAAATGCCCTCTTTACAAAATGCCCATACAATAATAGTATCTGGATAATATTCCAAAGTCACAAATACAGCACGTGTGGCTATTTTTTCTTTGGACTTTGTCTTTACAAATCTTTATTTCATACCTAATGAATTCTAATTCATGCATCAACTGACCCCTGAATTCAACTAACATCTTTATGTCATTATACCCATTGAAATGATGCGCTGACTGCCCCGAGTGAAGTGTGGGGTTCGTGCACTTATATTCAGGCTTTTGTTTTTTCAAAAGATCAGCCTCACTGTGGTAGGAGGAAAAAAAGTACTGTTAAATGAAATGTGTTACGTGGATTGATGTCTGCTCAGCTTTGTCCAATTCTGTACGGGTTGTATTTGTGTGTCTCAGTTGAAAGTCATTTTCACCACTCACAATAGTGCATTTCACACTGTCATCGGCAATCAGACAGCAAGCGACAGGACAGCCGGACCAATATACTAAAAACCTCCTTTGTCCACTACCCAATTAAATTCGTATCTGTCTATCTATCTATCTATCTATCGATCTATCTGTCTGTCTGTCTGTCTGTCTGTCTGTCTGTCTGTCTGTCTGTCTGTCTGTCTGTCTGTCTGTCTGTCTGTCT